ATCTTAACTATAAAAACCTTTTCTACATCAATGGGAAAATAAATTGAGCATACTTAGATTAGGATCAATTCCAAGTCATAAAATTAATAGCAAGCTGAAATAAAAAATGTCTGTGTGGAAGACGAGATACAGAAAAAGGTCTTTTTGTAGATGTATATTTGGCATTGTTGTTGTTGTTCAGTTGCCAAGTTGTGTCTGACTCTTTGCGACACCATGGACGGCAGCTTCCCTGTCCTTCCTTCACCATCTCCCGGAGCTTGTTCAAACTCATGTCCATTGAGTCGATGCTGTTATCTAACCATCTCATCTTCTGCTGCCCCCTTCTCCTTTTGCATTCAGTGTTTCCCAGCATCAGTATCTTTTCCAATGAGTCATAACTGGTATAATGAAAAGCAAATTCAGATTATTTTTGAAACTACAGTAAAACAAGTTTTCAAAATATTGTACAAAAGTTTTCAAAATATTTTCATAGATATTAATGCTTTGTGTGCCTGTTAAGTCGCTTCAGTCTTGTCCGACTCTTGGACTGTAGCCTGCCAGGTTCCTCTGTCCGTGGGCTTCTCCAGGCAAGGGTACTGGAGTGGATTGCTATGCCCTCCTCCAGGGGATCTAATCAAAGATCTAACCTGTGTCTCTTTACATCTCCTGTATTGGCAGTCAGGTTCATTACCGCTAGTGCTGCCTGGGAAGGCCAAGTTAATGTTTTAAGATGTACTAAATGCTTCTGATGTTCATTTCATCTGGGGCCTAACCCCTCACACTCAGAACAAGTCCAAGTTTGTAAATGTCAAAGTAGTTAGGATACAACTCCTAAGCGAGCTGAACTCCTTTCTCTCTCTGACCTCACTTCTTCCTATTTGCAAACCATTAATAGATCCTCCTGTAGCCTCCAGGCTCTTTGCGGCTCCTCACACTGGCCAAGCATTTGGGTCATCAGGGCATTTGTACCTGCTGTTACCTCTGCCTTAACTGCTCTTCTCCCAGATAAATGTCTGGCTTGCATATTTCTGTTCAAATGTTACCTGCAAGAGAAGCCTGCCTTGACTGTGCTGTCTAAAACAACACCCCACCACCTGACATATCTTTATTCCTTTGCCGTGCTTTACTTTTCTTCACAAACTTTATCACTACTTGGATTACTATGTAACTATTAATTTACTATCTGTCTTTCCCAACTAAAATGTAATCCCAAAGGAGTAAGGGCTTCTTTTGGTAATATAGCTCTAAAGTTTAAAATAATGCCTAACATGTATGTAGAAGGTACTGAATAAATATTCATTGACTAAATAAAAGAACGAGTCAATGAATGCTACCTTTCTTGTTTTAGTTTACAGATGGTAAAAATATTTATGAGTTTTATGAGTTAATTTGTAATCTTGGTCAGTCAATATCGTTTTCCTAGAAGCTTATTTTTTTATTTAAGATGAAATTTATGTAACATAAAATTAAACATTTTAAAATGCACAATTCAGTGGCATTAATTACATTTATAGTGTTGTGTATCTACCACCTAGATCCAGTTCAAAAACACTTCCATTACCCCTAAAGAAAACCCTGTATCCTTTAAACAGTCATTCCCCATTCTTTCCTCCCCATAACACCAGGCAACCGCTAATCTATTTTCTGTCTCTGAATTTATCTAATCTGTATATTTCACATAAATGAAATCATATAATATGTGACTTCTGAGTCTGGTTTCTTTCATTTAGCATAATATTTTCAAGGTTCTTCTTAGTTGTACCATGTAGAGGTCCTTTATTTCTTGTATCTTTGAAAATATTTCACTATAGATAGACTTACATTTTTGTTTGGGCTTTCCTGGTGGCTCAGCCATAAAGAATCAGCCTGCCAATGCAGGAGATGCAGGTTTGATCCCAGGATTGGAAAGATCCCCTGGAGAAGGAAACAGCAACCCACTCCAGTATTCTTGCATGGGAAATCCCCTGGAGAGGAGCCTGGAGGGTCCTGTGTTCATGGGGTCACAAAAGAGGCAGACACGACTTAAAAACTAAACAACAGCAGCAACATTTTGTTTATTCACTCATCACCTGATGAACATTTAATCCATTCTCACCTTTTGGATACTGTGAACACTGCTGCTCTGAACATTTACAGACAAGTATTTGGTTAAGTCCCTCAAACACATTGACTTTTCTGAATTGTTTCTAATGTTTTACATTTTATTTTTAAATAAAATTTGTATAAACTTAAAGCATACAACATGATGATTTGATATACATATATATATATATATATATATATATAATGAAATGATCAGTAGGATCACTTTTAGTATATCCTAGGAATGGAATTGCTGGGTCTTATAGTATTTCTACATTTAATATTTTTAAAAGATCATTTTAATGTTGACTTAAAAAAAAAGTCTATTGAATCCTGGGAGATGGTGAAAAACAAGGAAGCCTGGCGTGCTGCAGTCCATGGAATAGCAAAGAGTCAGACATGACTTAGTGACTGAACAACAAACCACTAGACCACTAGGGAAATCCCTACATTTAACTTTTTGAAGAACAACCAAACTGTTTCCATTAGGGGAGGCACAATTTTACATTTTCATCAGTGAAATTTAAGGTGAAAACATCTTGTAGGACTTCTTATTTTAGAGCAAAAAGTGTCATTAAAGGTGTGATTACTCACAGCAACTGTTCTCCATGATGCATTTGAAGTTGTGCATGGTGGAAGATAGTATTACTGAACTACTGGTCCTTATTCTGATTTCTATTAACAGCACAGCACAGTAGCCTTCAGATCTCTATGTTCCCCCAACTATCTTGTGAGGTGTCTTTTATTCCAACACAAAGAACAGATAAGGGTATAAAAAAACATTTTCTGGAGACTCTAATTGGAAAACTATAGATTTTAAGGACAGAAATGTCAGGCTCTTCACCACTGAATCCAATTTCTTTACTGACTTCCAATATAAGTCTTCTGCACCAGCCCTCCTCAAAACAATCTCCACCAACTTGAAGTTTTCAGCACTTTGATGTAACAATGAAAGTTTATTCTAATATCATTATCTTCATTGAAATGAAGACTAACTTACATTTTGAGTTGCATTTAAAGAATAAAAATATATATATATTGATTTATGATATAAGAACCAAAACTAGCAGTGCTCAGAAATCTTGGAAAATTCCATCTTGCCAAGTCCTGCTCCTAGTACTCACCAGGATCCCCTCCCACCAAGAGTCCCATGATGGAACATCTTCTGGGTCTGTTCCAGTGATGCAGTACCCTCAAACTCTTGGTATTTTTTGAACCCCAGTCCTCAAAATGCAACAGTGTCGTATGTATTGCAAGTGGTAGCTAATTAATTTGATAAAAACAATTGGTGTCCATGGGTGACATTCAACAGTGCTTTCAAATTTGGCCTTCTATGAAAACAAATAAATATAATTTTACTGTAGGAGATTTGACATGAAAGCACAATCCAACAAATCTGAATCTCATGGGGAAACTAATAAGCACCAGAGTGGATGACATCATGTTGTTTCATAGTTCGCTTAGAGCACACATCTTAGAGAAGTTTTAACACAGCACTGCTATATTTATGATCTCTTGGAAAATTGTTTTCTCTTACAGAAAATAATTCCAGTTATCATATGCTCAATTCACTCACTTATCAAGAGCTTCAAAGATGAAGAAATCATTAAATTGTGAATATTTGTTTGCTATAAATTTATGGGAAGAGGAAAGAGCATTCCAAGTTGAAGAAATGCCATAAGCAAAGACACAGTGCAGGGAGAGTGTAGTGTATCGAGACCAGGGTAAAGTGGTTATCTTGCTTGAAATAAGAAATATGTCACAAATTGCCTGGAAATGAAAATTGGATCACATTATAAAGGACTTAGAAATCTATGCTAAAGATTTTTAAATTAATCATATAGGAATACAAGAGCCATTGACGATTTTCACACATGCAAGTCGCATTATCAGATTTAGGGTATAGAAAGTTCACCCTGGGAGCATTACCTAGAAACATTGGCTTTCTGAAAGATTATTCCATGGCAATCAAATGTATCCTATTGGCAATGAATTAATCTATCAATTAACATTTCTGTCCACACATTCCAAATACCAATAACTCTTCTATTTCCCCTCAATTAAGCAATTATGTAATCTCAGTTTTTCTAAGTAGGAATATCTGTAATAGCATCCAGCTGAATGTATAATAATTGTTTTCAAAAACTTGGAATCATTTTCTGAGTAGTCCACATGACCTATAAGATAATCCTAAAAGATAGATATAAAAATCAAAATATCAAGCTAATTGGCTGGCTAACAGTGCTGCATAGAAGACTCCACTACTGGCAAATCATTACACTTCACATTACAAAACAGGCTTTGACAAACTAAATCTTACAGCTTGTTTTTTGTATGGCCCGTGAGCCAAAAGTGGGTTTAAATTTTTAAATAACTGTAAAAAACACTGAGAAGAATATGCAACAGAGATGGTTTGTGGACCTCAAATAAAATCATGTGTTACCCAGCCCTCTCCCCCTAAAGCCATCGGCTCTTGTCATACAGTGAAACACATGAAAGAGAGCTTAAGGGAGATTTCTTTTCACTTAAATCCTCCTCCTATAAACTACTAAGAAGCAACAGATGAGTACTTTTATAGCCTTACTAAATTTCTACTATTTTCCTAGGACAATTACTTTTCTATTTGGTAAAAATATTTTACTTTTTATAAATGGTTTGGTACCACAGCGTTTTGATCCACAGGATAGGTACCAAATCAGAATGTTATTTAAATGATGTCAGCTTGAGTCCAAAAGTCTGTTCTATACATCTGAGTCTCTTTTTCTGTTTTGCAAATAGGGTTATCGTTACCATCTTTCTAAATTCCATATATATGTGTTAGTATACTGTAATGGTCTTTATCTTTCTGGCTTACTTCACTCTGTATAATGGGCTCCAGTTTCATCCATCTCATTAGAACTGATTCAAATGAATTCTTTTCAATGGCTGAGTAATATTCCATGGTGTATATGTACCACAGCTTCCTCATCCATTCGTCTGCTGATGGGCATCTAGGTTGCTTCCATGTCCTGGCTATTATAAACAGTGCTGCGATGAACATTGGGGTGCACGTGTCTCTTTCAGATCTGGTTTCCTCGGTGTGTATGCCCAGAAGTGGGATTGCTGGGTCATATGACAGTTCTATTTCCAGTTTTTTACGAAATCTCCACACTGTTTTCCATAGTGGCTGTACTAGTTTACAGTGGGAGAAGGCGAGGGTGGGCTGTTTCAAGAGAACAGCATCGAAACATGTATATTATCTAGGGTGAAACAGATCACCAGCCCAGGTTGGATGCATGAGACAAGTGCTCGGGCCTGGTGCACTGGGAAGACCCAGAGGGATCGGGTGGAGAGGGAGGTGGGAGGGGGGACCGGGATGGGGAATACATGTAAATCCATGGCTAATTCATTTCAATGTATGACAAAAACCACTGCAATGTTGTAAAGTAATTAGCCTCCAACTAATAAAAATAAATGAAAAAATAAAAAAAATATAATGATGTCAGCTTGGAGGTAGATACCCACGATTCATCCTCACATGTATGAATAGTTCAGAGTAGTTGGTACTGTCATTTTTATGAGGTTTTGAGACTGTACATCTTTTTTAAGGCAATAATTCTAGCCTGTCACATACAGCAGAAGTTTTAGCAAGCAACAGAGGGAAGCAGAAACCTGTTTGAGAGTGAAACTGAATCAAAGAAGTTAATTTATTAAGTAACTGATCATATAGAATAGAGGAAGTTGAAATTCTTTATTTAGATACAGGAAATGAATATTTCATAAGGGCTTGATCAATAATTTCCCTTAAGGTAGAAATTATGGGCGGCAAGTTCATTGACAAATCTCTCTGTGACCTTTCTAAATAATGTACAATCACAAGACATTTATATTAGTAATATTTTATGTGGCATGTGTATGTGCTCAGTCGTGTCTGACTCTTCACAACCTCTTGGACTGTAGCCCACCAAGCTCCTCTGTCCTTGGGCTTCCCCAGGCAAGAAAATTGGAGCGGTTTGACATTCCCTTTTCCAGGGGATCTTCCTGACCCAGGGATCAAACCTGCATCTTTTGCATCTCCTACATTGGCACGCGGATTCCTTACCACTGCGCCACCGGGGAAGCCATTTTTATGAAGATGGACTTAATGCATAGCTGGCTTGGCAAAGTTCTACCTTTACCTCTTTTATTTATGATGATACCTGAATATCTGGTTTGATGAGATTTGGTTACTTAATTGAAATAGGATCAATATGGATTGCTTATTTAATCAAAATGTTATTTGAAAATAAAACAGAAGACTGCTATATGATTGTAAGAAATAGTAGCTCTTTCACAACCAAGGAACCATTTTTAAAATAATCAAGACATTTCAAAGTCAATTTAAAACAGAGAAAATTATTCTATAAGATATGGAATATTAGTTACTAAATCAAAGAAAATTCAATTCCTTCCTTCATATCCTTTAAAACTTGGAGCAAATAGTAGAGTTTTGCCCTTTGTTATGAACTTCCATATTCTAGAACAGACTAATGCTTTATTTAGGATAAATCTATTTTCTAATTCCCTGGAAAACAAAATCTCATCTGCTTTCCCAAGAATAACTTTCTGAAGTTTTTTCAATACCACCCTTAGTTTTGAATATATATGTCAATTATAATTTATAACCAAACTAAATAATATTTTGCAAAAGAAACTAAGTGGATGGTAATTGAGAACTTTCACACACAAACATTTTAGAATACTGGTAAAGCTCACAATTTTCTAGAGCCAGAAACATTTGATTAAAATGAACACATTTGTTAACATGCTCCAGAAGTCTACTCATGTATTAGAAAAGGAACAAACATATGTAAACTTATTATTATGATTATTAATGAGTGTTTCTGTATTCAAAAACATTACTTAGAAACTGTCTAGGAATCAAATGATTAGCTATTAACTCAATTCAATATTATTACAAGATTTTAGGATATCTAAAAGTTTTGGGAAATAATGTTCAAAACTATACATAGAAAATGTAATTACTTTTGTTATAAAAAATTGTCATAATTATTTAGTCAGACACAAATTTATATTTTTTTATAGTTTTAAGCATTATATAAGATTACTGTTAACTTAGTAAAGTGTGTAAGAAGCTGAGGAAATTCAAATGAACTAGTCTCTTTGTGTGAAGATAAACACAAATCTAATTTAAAAAATAAAAATGCATAATTATGTTATATTTTATGATGATAATAATGAAGGAAAAGACATAAATATCATTTTTAAATAAAATTATTAAACTACTATACTAATTTTCCATGAATTGACCTTAACTCTATAAACTTCGGTTCTCATATAAAATATGTCAGAGCTAACAGTTTCCTTAAGAAAATTTTAGTCTAAAACTTTTGAATTACCAGGAGCTCAAGTCTCTTATTTTTATGGTGTTTATGGGTATTAGTGGAGAAGGAAATGGCAACCCACTCCAGTATTCTTGCTGGGAAATCACATGGACAGAGGAGTCTGGTGGGCTATAATCCATGGGGTCACAAAGAGCTGGGTCCTACTGAGCAACTATGTAACAACAATAATGGATATTAGATTTATATAAGTAAACCCTTTATCATTACCAGATATCAACAGAAAAAAACAATTTGAACTTGAGAGATGAAAATTTATTAACGCTCTAAAGCTATGACAAATCTAGATGGCATATTAAAAAGCAGAGACATCACTTTGCCAACATATAATCAAAGCTATGGTTTTTCCAGTAGACATGTATGATTGTGAGAATTGGACCATAAAGAAGGCTGAGCACTGAAGAATCGATACTTTTGAACTGTGGTGCTGAAGAAGACAATCTTGAGAGTCGCTTGAATAACAAGGAGATCAAACCAGTCAATACTAATGGAAATCAACCCTGAATATTCATTGGAAGGACTGATACTAAAGCTGAAGCTCCAATACTTTGGCCACATGATGCAAAGAGCCGACTCATTGGAAAAGATCCTGATGCTGGGAAAGATTGAGGGCAGGAGAAGAGGACAACAGAGGATGAGATGGTGAGATGGCATCACCAACTCAATGGACATGAGTTTGAGTAAACTTCAGGAGATAGTGAAAGACAGAGAAGCCTGGAGTGCTAAAGTCCATGGGGTCACAAAGAGTCAGACATGACTTGGCAACTGAACAAAGGTCAATGTATTGGGTATCCATTACTGCTCAAGAAATTACTCCAAGTTAAGCAGCTTAAAACAACAAACATTTATTACATAGCATGGTTTTGAAAGGTCAGGAACAGAGAAACCTCTGGCAGTTCTGGCCAGAACCTTGCATCCAGGCTGCTATCCAGGGCTATAACAATATCAAAGCTCAACAGGAGCTTCTAAATATACTCAGTTGGAGGTCTAAGGTGTTCCCTGATGGAAACTGGCTCTAATTTCTCATTATATGGGTTTCTTCACCGTGTTTCTTGCAACATAGCAATTTTCCAGACAAGCAGTCCTAGAGAGAAAGCAGAAAGCATGCCGAAGATGGAAGCCACAGTCTTCCTTTAATCGTGTAATTTGAGAAGTGACATGCTAGTACATCTGCCACCAGCCAGTGGTCCACCCAGAGCAGCCTGGTACAAAGCAGGAGAGAGCTACAACACAGTGTGAACATCAGGGGCAAGGATGACCAGGGTCAGCCTGCAGGTTAGGCAGCACAAAAGAGAAACATCTGGTACTTACGCAGTACAAGGTCAGGACTTCTTAAATACAGGTACAGAGACGAACTGCAATACACAGAGTTCTTATAGATTCAGTTCTACAAATCAAGTTATGGGAGCAAGTAAACAAGGAAATGGAAACTCACCAATCTGGATTCTAAGGAACTGCTGGAAATGGAGGTTTTAATTGATTGAAGGGCCCAAATAGACCAAGAGATAAACTAACAAAAATGTCAACTAACCAGCTTCTCTGTTCTATCTCACCAAAGATAGGATAGATCTTTATGATCCATCTAACAGATCACCAAGTGATTGGGGAAAAGCAAAATTCTTGATCACTGCATCCAAAAGTGGAAAACAATATGTTAGCCATGCATGAACAAGCATCGGAAATAAAGAATAAAATTCATATGGAGGAAAAAAATCTAGAGAAACCAAGAGCTGATTAAAACTGTATTGTTTTTTGAATTTACCCTGGGCCAAGGTTAAACCACCCATCACGGGTACTTCTCAAGAAACGTAGGTTTATTACCTCTTCAAACAAATTAGCCTACTTGAGCATCTCAGAGAAAATCCTCCACAACAGCTTAAGTATAATATTTTGAAGTCTAAAACACATGACTCATAAAAATGTAAAATAAATACACATTACAGATTTGATTCAACCAGGCATATGTAAGAAATTCAATAAAGGAAAGTTAGGATAAAGTTGCTGCATGAGATACAAAATTGATTAATGTCTACAGGGAAATAAACTGTACCCTTTGATTTAGCTACATATTTTTTAGTCCCTGTTAGCACTAACAATAGAAAGTCCTGGGAAAACTGTATGGCAATTAGTATGGTATTAAATGGAAGTAACATTGTGACACGGTAACTAAAATAACTTATGGTGCAGTGCAATATTCAGTTACTTTAAAGCAGGAAGTCAGAGATAACAAATTTGTACCCCAAGCTTATATATATATGTATATTACATATATATACTATAATAACATATATTACATATTATATATTGAAAAGACAGAGTTAGTTGCTCAGTCATGCCCAACTCTTTGTGACCACATGGACTGTAGCCCGCCAGGCTCCTCTATCCATGGGATTTCCCAGGCAAGAATACTGGAGTGGGGTGCCTCTTCTTTCTTCAGGGGACTTTCCCGATCCAAGGATCAAATCCAGGTCTCCTGCATCGCAGGCGAATTCTTTACTGTCTGAGCCACCATGGATTATATATTATGTGTTGCTCCTCTGTCCATGGAATTATCCAGGCAAGAATACTGGAGTGGGTAGTCTTTTCCTTCTCCAGGGGATCTTCCCAACCCAACCCAGGGGTCAAACCCAGGTCTGAGCCACCAGGGAATCATATATATATGTATATATAGATATATTTGGCTACACTGGGTCTTAGTTGCGGCATGCAAGGCAAGTGGGATCTAGTTCCCTGATCAGGGATCGAACCCAGGTCCCTGCACTAGGAGCACAAAGTCTTAGCCACTGGACCACCAGGGAAGCCCCCCCCATGAAGCTTCTTTTAAACTTTAGTACACTATGCTAATATTTTAATATCAGGGGTACTGA